ACTAGTTGGGCTGTTATTGTTTCAAGTAGTTAACACTGTAGTTGGTTTATGAAATACCGACGATGAAGATGACGACGACAATGATATCGGTGAAGATGATGTTGTTGATGTTGTTGATGTTGTTGTTGTTGATGATGATGATGGTGATGATGGTGTTGTTGTTGATGATGGTGTTGTTGTTGATGATGGTGATGATGATGATGATGATGATGATGATGATGATGTTAAAATAATTTTTTGGCTTTTTTGAGAAGCTGAAAATAAATCGTAAGTCGTAACGCCAGAAGTTTCCTTTAAATTTCGAAACTTCCTCTCCAAGTTATTTATATCTGTGCCCTCGGATCTGAACTTCCAGTTTCCAGTGCTGTCGCATGTGACGTCATTCATTACGTCACAGCTCGGTTCGGTGTTGATGGGGATGAAGTTGACGGTTGATTTCGTGTGATGTGTTTTTAAGTTATTGTCATTTGAGTTGCTGTTGATTTTGATATTGTATCTGTTGTCAGTTGTCCGGTTAAATGTTGAAAAAGGTTTAAAATCGGTAGCAAGAGGGACAGAATGGCGTTTTATCTCAACTAATGTCTGTCGTTGGTTTTTGTTTATTCTTTCAATGGCATTGTACGCACTGCATGGGTTAAGAAGAGAATATAAACTTGTCTGCAGAGCTGATATATTTGTGGTTATTGTTTTTGTTGATGTAAGTTGCTGCTGCTGATGTTGTTGCTGCTGCTGATGTTGATGTGATTTTGTTGTTGTTGTTGTTGTTGATGATGATGGGGTTGTTGCTGTTGATGATGATGGGGTTGGGTTTTTTAAACATATCTCATTGTTTGAGAATGAATAGATTTTTTTGCCGTATGCATCGTCGCGGTTGTCATTATTCAGTACAATGTTGCTGGCATAATAACGACTGTGGTTGTTGTAGTGACTGCAGGAAATAAAATCACTTTTATTATTGTTGTTGCTGTTGTTTTTTCTAGAAATGTTTTGGCGACTGGCTGTGGCAACATCATTATTTGCTTCATTATAATTCAAAGTAATATTGCAGTCAAATATGCTACCAAACTGGCTGCTGTTGTTGTTGTTGTAGCTGTTTAACTCGTCCTTGCTGTAGTTGTTGCTGGTATCGTTGGTGGTGACGTTATATCTATTGTAAATGAAATCGCCAACGTGGCTGATGTCGTTACGTTTATAGCCACTACTGCTTGGACTCATAAATATGTTGTTGTTGTTGTAGTTGTTGTTGTTTTTGTAGTCCTGAAGACTGTTGATGCTTAAATCGTGCTGAGGTGTTTGTTGAGTGGGTTTCATTGAAGAAGAATTTAGGTGCGAGTCTGATGTTGATTTTGTTTGGGTGGATAGGATATTTGGTGGCAATGTTAATGTGTTGTTGTTGTTGCTTTTGTTGTTGTTGTTGATGTTGCTGTTTAGTTGCGTGGATGTTGTTTTTAGTGTTGTTGCGTTAGAATAATTTTTTGTTGCTGTGGATGAATTAGTATTCAGTGTTGGTGGTGTTTTGGCAGTAGAAGTTGTGGCTATTGTTGTTGTAAATGTTGCTGCAGATGTCATAGTAGCTGCTGAGTGTGGTTTGGCGTGAGAAGCTGCTTCGTTTACGACATCAACCACGTGAAGGTTTTCAGATCGGCATTTGCTCGTAATCGGTTTCACTTTCAAAACATAAAGACAGTTGTTTATTTTAGTGGTTGCAACGCTAGCGCAATGACTAACAACTTCATACATATTGTTTTCTCCATTATCTGCTCTGGCATTAGCAGTCACTTCTCCGGCTTCTGCAACTGTCAACTTTGTCGTCATAGGCATGAGTGACTGTTTGGTCTTTTGCAGTAAAATGACGTCATCCTGGCGTTTGATGCGAGAAGAAGAGGCTGCCAACCTAGCCACCAGCAAGCTGTAAAAGACGATAATAGCGATCATGGGAATGAAGAAGCCGATGATGAAGGAGTAAACAATGTAAGCAAACAGGACCGGGTTTCCGTCGCTGTAAACAAAAATGGGAGTGCATGTTAAGTGTTTAGTTGCAGTGATTGGGTCGACGTAATAGTTTCTGCTGGATGGGTCGCCGAACACATTCTCATCATTCCGGTACTCATAGTGGTAGAAATCGTCATAGTGATAATGGTTGATGCCGCCGCTCATCATCTTGTAGATGGTTGATGCATTTGTTGCGCCAGGTGCCGAATGATTTGGTTTGTAACGCGACTGACTGCCATCCTTTTCGTCTCTTATCCTGTTAGAAAAATACAACGTGTGGCGGTTTAGAGGAGTTGTGTGGCTGGAATGAATATTGCTCTCCACGTCGTTGTCATCCTCCTCTTCCACCACCTCCTCCTCCTCCTCCTCCTCCTCATCATCATCATCGTATCCATTCTGTTGAAGTTTTGCAATGTTGAAAGTGAAGGAATTGTTATAAAGATAATCGTCATCAGGGTTGTTGTAGACAGGCCCTACGGTTTTTGAAGCGAGAAACTGCCAGTTCCTGGCATGGTCCATGGCAGACGCTGCCTCGTTTTCGACCGCGTTATATCCTTCTTGATGCTGCTGATCATCTGACATCGCAATTTTTTCTGGCCTGCTGACGGTGGCGTAGTGAACTACGGGATAGGTAGCCAGCACGGACAGCAACCACGAGAGTCCGATGGCGATGGACACTTTACCGGGAGTTCGAAGTTTGACCGACACGAGCGGAAAACAAACTGCGGCAAAGCGGTCCGCACTGAGAATAGCCAGCGTGAAAGAGCCAGAGAAGATGTTGACGCAGTTGATGGCGTAGAAGGCTTTGCATAACAACGTCCCGAACACCCAGTTGCGCTTCAGACTGGTGACCACAATGAAAGGCAAGGTTAGCATGAAGAAACTATCGGATAAGGCCAAATTTAGTATGAGACGATTCGTGACTGTTCTCATCATTGGTTTCCTGACAACAACGTAAGCCGTCAGCAGGTTGCCGAACAATCCAGCGATGAAGATGAAGGTGTAGAAGCAGGAGAGGACGAGGTTCTCAATTACCGACTGGTGATTCGTGTCCGGTAGTTCAATGTTGGCCGATATCGTCAGGTCAGTTGTGATCAGTTGATATTCGGACGGTTCGTCTGATGTCATTGATGTCGTGCTGCTGTTAAGTGATGATGTCATGCTGCAAGTGTCTTGTTTAAGTTGCTGTCCGGGAATAAATCTGTCGAAAAATATTTTGCAATTTTTAAATATGATACATAAATACAAATTCATGTTAAATCATTTTGATTAAGTTTTTATCTCCAGTCACGTTCTTTTTTTACAGCTTGTTGGAAGATATTTTTAATGAATGATAATCTTTATTATATACAAGTTTTTTTTGTTTTCAATTTCGTGGCGTGATGATGTTTCACGTCATGAAACGTCATCAGACGCATCTTTGCTTTTCTTTTTCTATTCAGTTTTTCAAATTCTGTCTCGTCTATATTTTTAAAATGAAATTTTTATATTTTTGGGCAGACATTTTTTTAAAAGTTGACAAACATTTTTTAAATAATTTCAATTGAAATTTAAATAGAAACAAAATTGATGATATTTAAAAAAAATAAAGTCATCTAATCGGTAGACATCTAGTAGTTTTAAAAAGAATAATTATGTGCAAACCACCTTTGACAATTTCTAAATTTAATTAACTTAATCTTATTTTTGGATTCGATATTAAAAAATGGACAAACATTTTTTGTCATGATATAATTAAATTTTAAATTATGTAAAATTTTCAAATATAGTTTCATTGTTTCATTGCTCCTTCCAACTTTTTATAACGCAACAACTACAGTTGGGAACGTTGTTTTGTCATGAATATCATGACGATGAGGATGAAGATGATAAGAATGATGATGATGAGGATGATGAAGATGATGAGGATGATGATGATGGTGACAAAGATTATGATGAAGCTGATGGTGATGGTTATAAACTGGTTAATTTAGTTGTGTTTAACCGCCAAAAAATGTTTTTACTGCCATTTTACATTGTTGTTGATACATCTGTTTCATTATTCAAATCTAAAATATTTTTCAACATGTTGATCTTTGTTCAGTTTTTAGTTTTTTTTATACAGAAGATGTGTATCAGGAAGACTGCAAAAAAATAGTTAACTCTGATTTGCATGTCTATTGCTGTTGTCCAGATTCATTTGGTGTCATGTCTGTGTGTCTGTCTGCCTGTCTGTCTGCCTGTATGTCTGCCTGTATGTCTGCCTGTTTGTCTGTCTCTTTTTCTCTCTTTCTTACTAGATTTTTTTTATCTCTCTTTTTTTCTATTCTTGTTTTTGTTTCTTCTATTTCTTTCTTCAAATTCAGCGTAAATAATATTAATAAGTGCTGTTAAACATCTTTTAGCATTTTCAAAATTCAGATAAGACTCAACAATTATTGTTTTTTTTAGTAAAAGAAAAAGAAAATATTAAAAATATTTAATAAATATTACAAATTGTGGTATAATTTTCAAAAGGACAAAAAGATTCACGTTCTTACATTACACTGCCCGTGCGGTGTCACTATCATTGTTATTAAGGATTTTAATTAATAATAGTACTTCAAACAATTTTAACAATAAAAGTTTCTTAAAAATTTCTGCATTAACATCTTTTTAAACTTTCTAGCAATTAAAATTTTAAAAGTTTGTATCTCTAATGTTCTCTCTCTCTCTCTCTCTCTCTCTTTATCATTCTCTCTCTTTTCTTTTTCTCTCTCTCTCTCTTTCTCTCTATCAAAATTTAAAAGTTGTAAGCCATAACAGTTTTAAAGCAAACTCAACAAATTCAAATTGAATATATACAATTTCATTCATTCATTCATTAATTTCTATTTTCTTTGAAATGTCTATTCACTTCGTACAAAAGTATTTTAAAAAAGATTTTAATTGACGTGTGAAATTTGATAGACAAAGAACAAAAAGCAAAACAAATGAAAAACAAACAAAACGGATAAAAAACACATGATGATGAAGAAGAAGAAAAAGAAGACGAAGAAGAAGAAGAAGAAAAAGAAGACGAAGAAGAAGAACGACAAAACAAGCATTATACAAATGTAAAACCGCAGACTAGTCAATCGAAATGTATGAATAACCACACGACTGATCTTTTTATCTCGTTCTCGCTCAATAAATAAATGCATGGACGGTTGTAATGACGATGACAATAAAAAACAATAACAATAATATTAATAATAATAATAACGGTAAAAACTAAATAATAATAATAATAATGATGATAACTATAACACTAGTTATGACTTTTTTTTCATTTTTATTAGAAATATTATTATTATAATTAAACGCATGTCATCCAGACGGACGGTCTCAATGATGAACGAATGCAGAGGCACACTACATAGGAATAATTATGACAATGATGACGTCATCGACAACAAAAAAATATTATTATTATTATTATTTATGTTATTGTTATCACAATTGTTATAGGCATCTCAATCAGATGTTCTCAACGATAAACGAATGAATGCAATTTTGCAATGCAATGGCAGATGGGTAGAATAATGTAGAGCAGATCATTGCGATGATGACGATAATAATGAAAAGAATAATAACAATAATAATAACGAGGTAGTAGTAGTTGTTGTAGTAGTAGTAGTGGTAGTAGTAGCAGTAGTAGTAGTAGTAGTAGTAGTAGTAGTAGTAGTTGTAGTAGTTGTAGTAGTAGTAGTAGTAGTAGTAGTAGTAGTAGTAGTAGTAGTAGTAGTAGTAGTAGTCATGCTATAATGTAAAAGATGATAATGACGATGATGACGGTTACGACTGTGATGCTTATGAAAATAATGACGTAATTGTGACGTAATTACAGGCTGAAGAAATTGTAAAAAATAAGGAAGGTTTCTTTTCAAATTGATGGCTTCAAACTGAATAGGAAACTTAAGGAATTTCTGTCATTGTACATAGACTTCTTCTATTTTCTCTCTATTACGTAAAAACACAAACACACACACGTACACACACGCATACACACACGTACACACATGTACATAAATAAGATAAGTTTTTCTCTGCCTGCTTGTGTGTGTATGCATTTGTGCATATATTTGTGTATTTTTTCATACGTGTGTATGTTATTTTACATGTGCGAATTATCTTTAAAAAATTCTTTTAATAAAAATGTAATTAAATTTTTTTTAATTAATCTACCGTTATTCAAACTTACTTCGAAAGTATTTGAAAGTTTGTCGTGGCGTGTACGTGTGCACGTGTATGCGCATGTGCGTGCGTGTGTGTAACAGCGTGTATGTGTGCGTGTGCGTGCGTGTAGATGAGTTTTCTAGCAACAGTCAATGATGTATTTGATCTTAATTAACGGACTGATGAACAAAAATCACGCATATTTTTGCGGCGTACTATTTCATTAGACCAACTGACTTTTTTTTACTCTTTTTACATGGAATTAATAATTTGCTTCATTCCGGTTAATGTATAGAACGTGGGGTATGCTGGTAATCAGATGTCGTTTTTATGTCAATCATTTTTAACTGCGCGGTTAATAAAATGACTGTTTGGTCTTTTTTATTGTCTACCAGAAGTTGTTAGCTGCGCGTTGTTGGTGATTGAATTTAGTTTTATTTAATAATTTATATCTACTAAATCGCTAAATTATATTTGTAACGACATGTTTCTGTTCTATTTCTAGTTAAATTTTTCTGGTAGCATTTATATGCAAGTATACAACGAGGTAGAAAAATAAAGTAATGTCTTTTTGTAATCTAAATACTTCTTGGCTGAAATATCTTAGCGTGACGGGCATGCAGTAGTAGTATGTACAATGCATTGATCTCTGAAGATAAATCAACAATTGTCATTTACACCTTTATAGATGCACCAAATTTGACAACATTTCCATAAATTGTGACATTTATATTTAAAATAACTAACAAAGGTTGAAAGTAACATTTTATATTGCATCACAAATTACATTCCTGAAGCTATCAACATCCTCATTGTTGAATCCAACTTTCGCAAACAAACTTTTTGACAATTTTAAATTTAAAATTTAATGAAAAATTAACTTCAGAAAAGAAGAAAAAACTGACATAAAAAAAACAATCAGCATTTATTAGCTGAGATGCGTAGATGAAATGAATCCCAGGTGTTAGCGAGCATCTAAATACACCTGTCTTTCTACTAATTGACATCGTTAAACATGCCTAATTGTTGTTACAGGTTTTAAAACTAACAACTAAATAGACAATTTTATGATTAACTGCTTAAGTTACGGGCATATAACCAACTTAACATACACGCATACAGCCAAACCAGTATACATTTATTATGCATTTAACTAAAAAAGGAGCTCAATTGTATAAAATAAGTTACAACAATAATGATATGATGATCTCCATGATAATGGCCATGATAGCAATAATGATAATAACGACACCAATGAAGATGATGGTAGAAAATGAAACACCCAGAAACAAACAAACAAAAACTACAAAATAAAATCTGAAAGAGCCCATGTAAAAAATGAAATATTTCAGTATAAAATTGCTTGCATGAATCTAGCGCTTTCGTTAAATAAACTTCACTCAACTTTTCATATTTTTTTTCATATTTCATATTTTATCAACGTTCAGTTATTTCGAAATGTATATGTATATATACATCCTTCAAAGTGTAACAAAGGTGGATAATAACAACAATAATAACTAATATTAATATTATAATCACAATAACAATATTATTATTTGTTTTGTTTAGATCTATAATTGTCTCCATATGTTTCACTATGCATGCTTCATTCAACGTCAATTAAGTCGCTTAAAAGTGACATTTCGGCATCATTTTTATCTTCCGCAACTGCCATATTACATTTCTTGTCAAAATGACACATGTGGCGTATTTTTTATCACAATCTTTTCAACATCTGTATTATTATCTTAATCATTGCTACCGTTATTGTCCTAATCATTTCATCATTATCAGCCTGGCCCTAATCATTTTAGATGTAATAGCAACCAGTAATTTGAATTTTATGATTCTTGATTTATTGGCTGTGATATCTTATCTATAGGCCAGTGACTATCTATTGACCCATTCAAATCAGAAAATTATTTCAAATTAAAGTTAATGTGAGTAAA